AATAAATCCCTTTATTTCCTGTTCACGAAACGTACTCCTATTTCTGCTTACGACTTCTGCGTTCGACTAACCTGTTGTCTTATGGCTGATTCCTGCTCTCCCATTTTCTTCAGCAGCACCATCGTCTCTTCTCGGAGTCTTGCTATCACTCTCTCTTTCGCTTCTTCTTGCGATTTGTGTTTCTTCTCCTTCTCTTGGAGTTTGTTCTAGAAAAGAAATATGAATACAACCATCACAATAAAATCATGACATACACATATGTATGATTAAATAATTCTTGCAAATATACATATATGTGTGTATAAGTTCAGTTCAGAGAGAGAGAGAGAGAGAGAGAGAGAGAGAGAGAGAGAGAGAGAGAGAGAGAGAGAGAGAGAGAGAGAGAGAGAGAGAGAGAGAGAGAGAGATTAGGAAAGATAGAAAATCTTTGTTGATAAATTTGCCAACTTACTTTCGCTTGAGCAAGTTCTTTGGTGAGTTCTTCGCATTTATTCTGCATAGCTAATATTTCTGTCGCTTTGGTCTTGTTTATTCTGTCCACTTCATTCACTGTCTCCATTTTCTCTAGCATACAATTCTGTGTTGGATGTCTTTATATGAACCGCTTGTAGATACACACACAGATGAATATGCATGTATAAACATATATGCATATATGTATATATATATATATATATATATATATATATATATATATATATATATATATATATTTGTGTGTGTGTATGTGTGTGTCTGTACATAAATTTATATATATATATATATATATATATATATATATATATATATACATATATATATATATATATATGTATATATATATATATATATATATATATATATATATATGTATATATATATATATATATATATATATATATATATATATAGATATGTATGTACAGACACACACATACACACACACAAATATATATATAATAATATAATAATAATAATAATAATAATAATAATAATAATAATAATAATAATAATAATAATAATAATAATAATAATAATAATAATAATAATAATAATAATAATAATAATAATAATAATAATAATAATAATAATAATAATAATAATAATAATAATAATAATAATAATAATAATAATAATAATAATAATAATAATAATAATAATAATAATAATAATAATAATAATAATAATAATAATAATAATAATAATAATAATAATAATAATAATAATAATAATAATAATAATAATAATAATAATAATAATAATAATAATAATAATAATAATAATAATAATAATAATAATAATAATAATAATAATAATAATAATAATAATAATAATAATAATAATAATAATAATAATAATAATAATAATAATAATAATAATAATAATAATAATAATAATAATAATAATAATAATAATAATAATAATAATAATAATAATAATAATAATAATAATAATAATAATAATAATAATAATAATAATAATAATAATAATAATAATAATAATAATAATAATAATAATAATAATAATAATAATAATAATAATAATAATAATAATAATAATAATAATAATAATAATAATAATAATAATAATAATAATAATAATAATAATAATAATAATAATAATAATAATAATAATAATAATAATAATAATAATAATAATAATAATAATAATAATAATAATAATAATAATAATAATAATAATAATAATAATAATAATAATAATAATAATAATAATAATAATAATAATAATAATAATAATAATAATAATAATAATAATAATAATAATAATAATAATAATAATAATAATAATAATAATAATAATAATAATAATAATAATAATAATAATAATAATAATAATAATAATAATAATAATAATAATAATAATAATAATAATAATAATAATAATAATAATAATAATAATAATAATAATAATAATAATAATAATAATAATAATAATAATAATAATAATAATAATAATAATAATAATAATAATAATAATAATAATAATAATAATAATAATAATAATAATAATAATAATAATAATAATAATAATAATAATAATAATAATAATAATAATAATAATAATAATAATAATAATAATAATAATAATAATAATAATAATAATAATAATAATAATAATAATAATAATAATAATAATAATAATAATAATAATAATAATAATAATAATAATAATAATAATAATAATAATAATAATAATAATAATAATAATAATAATAATAATAATAATAATAATAATAATAATAATAATAATAATAATAATAATAATAATAATAATAATAATAATAATAATAATAATAATAATAATAATAATAATAATAATAATAATAATAATAATAATAATAATAATAATAATAATAATAATAATAATAATAATAATAATAATAATAATAATAATAATAATAATAATAATAATAATAATAATAATAATAATAATAATAATAATAATAATAATAATAATAATAATAATAATAATAATAATAATAATAATAATAATAATAATAATAATAATAATAATAATAATAATAATAATAATAATAATAATTATAGTAATGATAATGATAGCATGAATGATAATAACAAAAATGATAATGATAATATAATAATAATAATAATAATAATAATAATAGTAATAATAATAATAATGATAATATGATTATAAAAACAATAGTAATGTTACTAATAGTACTAATAATAATGATAATGATATTAATGTTAATAACAAAACTGATAATCATCATAATGATCATAATAATGACATTGATAATAATAGTGATGATAATTAAAATTATAACAAACTTGATAAGGACAAAAAACATTATTATTATCATCATTACCATGGTTATCATTATTATTGCTATCATTATTATCATTACTATTACCATCATCATAATTATTATCATTATCATTATTACCTGCAGCGTTATTATTATAATACTACTACTAATAGTAATGATGATAATGATACTAATGTTGATGTTAATAACAAAAATGGTAATCATAATAACAATAGCAAAAATTATAACTAATGATGATAATAACAATGATAATGATGATAATGATAATGGTAGTAATAATATGATAAATATGATAATAACGAAAATGTTTATACGAACAAGAATAATGATAATAGGGATAATGATAACAATAATGATCATTTATTATAATAATGATAATGATAATGATGATAATGATTATTATTTCATCATTAATATAAGTGGTAATATTGTTTTTTTATAAACGGCAGCAACATTGTCATAAGTATTGTTATCATTACGATGTTTTATTATTTTCACCATAATAGTGATAGTAACCAAAATTATATTGATTATATTTACCATTGCTGTTATTATTACTATTATTATTATTATTATTATCAATATGATTATCTTCACTACAATTATTATTATTGTTATTATTATTAACATATTTATTACTACCATTATAATCATTATTATCTTCATCGTTATTATTATAATGCTAATACTAATACAAAAGATTGTAATAATGATGATAATGAATATATATATATATATATATATATATATATATATATATATATATATATATATATATATATCATTATAATTATAAACATTATCACTATCATTGTTGTTGTTAGATAATTGTCATGACTTTCATTACCATCATTGCTAGGAATGATGGTGGCTTTAATTGTAATACTGATATTATTGCATAATTATTACTATCATTACCGTTGTTATTACTGACACTATCATCCATTATGAATTGTGAATAGGTGACTGACATGAAGTAAACGAATCGATCAAACTGTTTCCTTACTTTTGAATGAAGTTCTCTGGTTAATTGTTCACAGCGATTATGCAATGATGTTAATTCCTCTGTTATCGCCTTGTTCTTCATGTTCACCTCTTCTAGTGAATCTGCTTTCTCCTGGAATATCATATGACAATGAAAAAGATTGGAAGAAATATGTGGATATGTCCGTAAATGTTAAGTAAACAATTTTATTCATATTTATAGTATACCGTATACATAAATCTAATAATCGGTTTGAATTGTTAATAAAACATGTACTGCATAATTGCAATTGATATAACATAACCTTCAATAGTTTAATGTCAATATCATTAGGACTATAACATTACTACGAATCTTATGTCACTAAAACCAAACGGTTATCAACAATCAAATATCCGTATTAATATTTATTTTACCACATTGTCAATTAAATTATTGATAATAAGAAAATCATATAATCATTATCCATGCAATATTAAGATCAACATCGTCATCATATGGTTATCAATATTATCGATTGCATGTCATTATTATCAGTCATTCATTATAGTCTCGTACTGAAAAAATAAAAAAATAAAGTAATAATAACAATGATAATGATAAAGTAACGAATCGTTCCTCTATCTATGTCAAATAACATCTTCGTAGAATTAATTTCAGTGTCAAAAATTATCACATCTCTTATATCAATCCCGTTACAATTGCATTCAATCCAATAATCAATGAATCTAATTAACAATAAACCAGTCATTCGTTCTTCATGTCCATCCGATTACCCTGAACTTCGTCTCTGCATCCTGAAGTTTGGCTGCAAGGTCCTTCACTGAACACTGAAGGCTGATGACGCTGCGTTCCCGTTCCTCGTTCAGTCGCTGTTGTTGTTCTTGTTCTTGTTGTTTTTGCTGGCGTAGAGAGGTAAGTGCGTTAGTAAATTATTCGTGGTCTGTACTCTCCATTTCCTTGAGAGATGTAAATGACGTTTGTATTAATATCTATATTCCCCGTCTTATTATTATCATAATCTTTATTATTATTGGTTTTGGCATAATGTTTATGATATCATTAATCATGATAATGATAAAATACTGATAATGATTATAATGATAATGATAATAATAATAATAATAATAACAATGATAATAATGATAATAGAATAATTGATAATGATAAAAATAATAAGCGTTATAATAACAATAATGACAAAAATGATAATGATAATAC